CAGTGGCAGCATACGGTTGCAGAGAGCTACGTAGCGCAACAGCTGTTTTGTTCCGGTTATCGGGCCTGGAGAACAAGTTGTGTTGTTGTAGTCGTCCGTGTGAGACTGTTGCGCATGTGCAGCTAGACTCGGCAGGACGGGTTTGAACTTGGTCGCTTCGAGGCTGTGGCTTCACCTTTCAAGTGCCTCATCTTGCGTAGCGAGCAAGCGCATTCAAGGCGTACTTTGACACGCCTTTGCCGCTTCACTTGCTTGGTCGCGAGGCTCCGCAAGAAGGACTCAGCAAGACATGACTTCTTCATGCGGGTCCTTTGCAAGCTCTTTTCCTCCCTGCGAGTCTTGATCTCCAAAAGCAGGAGCCGACGGCGAGGTGCCATCAGCCAGGCGCCTCCGCGGCTGCAACTTTCTCAAACTTCCCGTGACAGGAACCGGCCCCACTGGTTGCAGAGGCTGCTATGCAGGCGCACAGTGACCAGGCCACTGCGAAGAGTGTTCTGCAGATGGCCGGAGGCTGTTGAGCGACAGCTGGAGATGCTGGGTTCCGGAAGCAGGTATGCGGTAGCCTCAGCACAAGCAGTTGTCGTCTCGATGTTACTTTCCTGAGTGGGCAGTTTGTATGTCGGTGCCCATGAGCCATTGAAGGCAGCAAGAATGTCAACGTTGGAATCCGCGACTTGCATGGCCTCATGGTATGGAGTCCTGCAAGGTCTTCACTGAAAACTGTGGGGAACCGCCTGCTGCGCTTCGCCGGAGGCATTAGTCAAGGAAGGGGAAATGTGTGGCATGTGACGCATATCTGGCCCTCCCAGACCGGGTGGAACATTGACGTCGGCAGACTTGGAGGCAAGACCCAGTTTCAAGAAGAGTCGGAGTCCTGCGGCCATGCATTCAAGACCTGGTCGCATACAAAATAGTGCAGCACATCAGCATACATCTTTCTGGATGGACCTGGAGGTTGCAGTGACGTGTTTCTGAACGGGAGTTTGTGTAATTAATCTCGCCTAGGGTCTACTGTCTGCTGTTCTGTGCTATGTCATTTAAGTTAGCATGCCGACGAAACATGCATTGCTGCCCCGTGTGCAGCAACTTTCCTTCTGGCTTCTGCTAATGCTGTTTGAGGCACTTTCCTTCTGGCTTCTGGGCGCCATCAGAGGCGACAACATCTGGAGGCCCAAAAAGCTCAACTAGAAACTCAGAGTATGTGCCGATCATCCTTGTACTCGCGATTGGTTTCCTTGCTTGTCTGCGGTTTCCAAGAGGCTCGAATGTGGAACTGAAGGGTTTTCCAGAGCCATGGAATCGCCAACAGATGTTCCAGAACCGTTGACAACACAAGACATAGACAACAAGCCGTTAAGCTTCGACTGCGGTGCAGAAGCTGTGCAGGCACCAGAGCAACAGGTCATTGACATCACCAACGCGTCGGAGGAAGAAAAGCAAGCCGGGAACAGGATTCCCAAACGCCCTGCGAGGGCAAGCCCCTTTGCTAACACAGCGGCGCCGGAGAGGCCAACCAGGCCTGAGAACCTTGAGTCGCCTGTAGGATTGAAGGATTTGCCAACGCCAGAGAGGGCCAGCTGGCTTCTCTCGCGACTCGCAGGCAGTATGCATCGGCCAGAAGTGCAAGGACGACTTCGCAAGATGATGGCAGAAAAGTTCGAGCAACAGAAGTCAGCTGACCCGATGTCGAGTTCTGTAGAGCCCGCGCAGCTTCACTACCCTGCAGAATTTCCTCCTCAGATTTTCGCAGACTTGTGCGTATGCTGGAATCAAGGAACCCAAAACTACTTGCCTACTGTGGACACGATCCAAAGGCCCGCAATCTGTCTGATGCGGGGGCAGACGAGACCACCCACATCCTAGAACCCATCGAAAAACGCATGAAGGAAGAGATGACACGTGCACAGGAGATCCAGCTTTGCAGGGACATTCTGACCGAGATCCGTCGTTTCGTGATTCGAGCTACAGGAGGACCGTGGAAGCACACGCGCCGAGGCCCGCGCGACGCACAGTGAGGTGCCCATCACTGATGAGTTCAAGGATCGAGAGACCCTTCTCCGATGGATCCTACCTGCCAAATGGATGAACTACAGACTTCATGCTCGGAATTATGAGGAAGTCTCATGGTACCATGCCAAACTTGTGCATCTCTTCTCTATCATGTATGGAGATTTGGACGATGATGACAGACTGGCCGAGAGTGGTGTGCGAACTATGCGCTACGTGGACCAGGTGCATCAAGGCGAGACTATTGGAGTCCTCCAATGCATCGAGTTTAAGGATGCCACTGATCGGGCATGCTTCAAAATTGGGAAGACAATGCTGAGTGGTGAAAGCGTGAAAGATTCAAACAAGTCTTTGAGCGTGTTGCACGCTACAGGCGACTCCATAGTGAAACAGGTGTGGCTCTCAAGAACGTGAAAGTGCATTCCCTGCATTGGGTGAAGTTCGCTGTCACTTTCAAAGTGGAGCAACAGTTTCACTACGACGCGAAGGTAAGTCCATACAAAGTCCAGGGTGTTTGTTAACACAGCTATGGGGCAGGAGGTACCCTGTACAGAGATATATTATGCTGAGGCAGTGCCTGTGTGGCAAGCACACTTGACTCAGGGCTTCAATGGGCCGCCTGATCGAAGCGACACCTGCTTCGTGACTGCTGCAAGATGGCAAAGTGGGTCACTGAATCTGAGTGAGTGTTACCAGAATTTGCAGCCAGCGGTACGCCCCGGATGCCATAGTCATCCGCAAGGATCCAGGTGCCTAGAAGGAGTTCTGGGAACTAGAAGCCTGGAAGAAGGTCCAGCAGTATCGTGAGGAGGTCTGGGGGACTTGGAAGCCTCAGGATGGCAGATCCCAGCCATCTTTGTGCCGAGTCTGGAATGGACAGGACCCTGCAAAGCCAACGTGGACTCTGACGGGCCGCGGGCTCCGTCAATGCGGAACACTACCCCGTCTTCTTCAAGCTGCATATGCTGCCTCCGCCTCTTGTAAAGCCAGAGCTGATTCAGAAACGCGTCAAGCCTGATGCTGAGCCCGGGACATCGACCGCTGAGAAGAAGCAGGTAGAGAAACCTGAGGCCAAGAATGCGAGGCAGAAGAAGGCTGCAAAGGAAGCGACAGGTCGTAGGCCTAAGAATGCTACCGGGCTTAGGACACGAGCAACTGGAGCTCGGTGCAAGAAAAGGCAACAGGAAGCCACGGAGGCTACGGGTCA